AATATTGCACTTCACCTTCACAAAATAAAAATTATATATTAAGAAATACACATTATTTTTCACTAAAGCTATGTTTTTAATAAATGCTTTTACAAAATTTGTGTGTTCAAAATGGAGACCGTATTTCATAATTTGTTACAATTTGAGTGCCAATGTTACTATTAGTCTTGTGTAGGTGATAATGTTACTATAAAATCTGTATTAGAAGCAGCACCCATTTTTTTGAACAATTGAGAGCCAACAAATTTGTGTAGATGCTCTAATAGAAACCACATCCCCTCTGTTGCATTGTTCCCTTCTAATAGAAACAGCAGGTTCTAATACAGATTTTACAGTAGTATTTTTGTGTACTGTTTGTTTTGAATTGGCCAATGAGTGTTTGTAGAGTTGTCATGATTATGTATCTTAATTGAGGTATGTATTACTGGTATGAAGTTATTATGAGAATACAGCAAAGTATACAGAAAGGTAGTATGGTAATCGTATATCAATTATGATTATGATTAATCTTGTGATAACATTACTGTAGTAATAATTTAATGACAGATTATATATATATATATATATATATATATATAATAACTAAAAATATATCGCACTGTGCAAACATTTGTGTTCAGTGACGAGATTATATTTGCATCACGTACTGATAACGCTTGAGCGTCTGAAAGAAAGTTTTCAGATGTGATGTATGAATACAACACGATTTCCAAATAAGTGAGACATTCAAACGTGATAACACTTCTGAACATATCTGAACGGTGTTTTGAGGAGCAGTCAATTCTATTGTTTTTTATTGTTTCCGTTGACTAATTCAAGACATCAAATAAAAGCAAGGTATAGATAAAAAATAATGACTGACAACCAATTTTTATTACCAGTATTATTATTATAATTATGTTAATTACATACCAGTGGTTAACTTAACTGCACATATATGATCCGACTGTTTTTTATTTACAACTTCAAACCTGTAAATAAACATAATAAATATAAAGAAATAATATGAGAAGGGATGGTTTCACAGTTCTGGTAGAATATCTCCTAATTTAAAATTTGACACAGTTTTTCACAATATGCCCACCGCCATCTTTCAGGTAAAGTATGCGCATATCAAATAAAGTCTAATAGGTCATAGGTCAAGGTAATAAAAATACCATTAACTTTTCACCACCAGTTCCATTTTTTTTATCACAAATTCACAAAATAGTCCCATTTATAGTTTGCACTTCACTTCAGATGATTGGGACAAAAATAGCCACATTTTTTGACACAAAACAGAAAATTGTCTCCAATTTTGTCTATTAGTTCCAAAATTGGAGTTCATTTCCAGAAATATTGAAGAATATAAGAAAAAAGTGCAGAATAATTTGAGAGAGAATGTCTGGTGGTGAAAAGCATAATCCCTGAACGTAATGAACATACTGAAGGAAAAGACCAGCCAGAAAACAGAAGAGAAATAACAGAACCAAGAATACACAAGCACATAATTCCGACAAGAGAGCAGCTTTATTTTATGTCAACTTATGTACATTCTTCTAAATACCAGCAAATTGCATGCAAGCATCTCTCCACAGTCAGGATTTATCAACCAATTAGAGTGCACCTCACTAAAACAGACTGTGCCTCTAGAAAGTGGCCTATAACACAAGATCTGATTGGTAAGTGCATAATTTCTTTACTTACCATTGTGGTATTGCAAGAGTTGGTACAAAAGGTCGATGACCTGTGATGCACTCAAATACAACAGTTCCAAAACACCAATAATCGATAGTATGGGAGTATTCCTTATTACTCAGCATTTCTGGTGCCTATAAATACATAACATGTTTCCATGGTTACAGTATGCATTTTATGAAATGAAGCCGACCATAATTGGTAAATTAGACACTGAAACTACTCAATTAAATTGATTTTCTGGTTCAATATTATGAGGTTATTACGAGAATACCGCTAATTATGTCTGAAGGTAGTTTGATGATCATATCAACCGATGCAGATGTCAATGCGATCCTGTGCTGCCTGCCTGTATATTTTGTGGTATTCCGAATTTAACCTTATTATTTTCTACCATGCCTGTATGATCGATTGAATTCAGTGAAGTGATTCTTGTTGTTTCGTACAACATTTTACGGATGAATGAATTGTATTTATTCAGATGTACAATAAACCCTGTTATTTAAGTTTTTATCCATGATACTGTAGCAATTTACCAAGATTAGAATCTCTCAAAATATGCAGCAGGGTAGAATATTCTGTTGATAATAAGTAAATTTGTTTGTAACTGGCTTTTGAATGGTAGGCTGGCGGCCATTTACAGTCTTAGAAATAAGGGATAGTACAACTCAAGCATACACATGCATTGAGAAGAATATGTCAAATGTCGCACACTGCAGAAATCGCTACTATTTGCGAAAAGAGCAATCAGGTCCTTTACACACACTGGGCATATGACTAGTACACAAGACCAACAACTTTATGTCCGCTTCGAAAAAATGCCATTCTCCCAAATCGGAATGCTATGACCCTTAGCTGACCATGGGATTCAAACCCAATTTTGCTGATGCTGGGAAGACATGCTAAACAATAAGCCATACAAAAGTTACTGAAAAGATACTTACTAAGTATTGTGCGGTTCCAACAAATTCTCTGGCGCATGGTTCTAATTCCCACCTAACGGCGTAACCAAAATCTGTCAACTTGTAACAAACCTGTATGCCAAGAATAAGACAGTATGATTTACAACAGAAATGACATAACGAACATGGAACACCAGGTGTGAAACAAAATAAATCAACGTCTATAGACGAGAAAAGCAGTTTAACCTTTTCACCACCAGACTTTCTCGCCCAAATTTTTCTTCACTTTTTTTTTTATTATATTCTTTAATATTTATGGAAATGAACCAACAGATAAAATTTGAGTCAATTTTCAGTTTTTACTCAAAAAAACATGCCTATTTTGTCCCAATCTTCTGAAGGAAAGTGCAGACTACAAACATGACTATTTTGTGAATTTGTGATGAAAACATAATTCATTTTCACAACACAACCTCATGAATCGCTTTGTGATATTGTAACTGAACAAAATACTGTAAAATACTTTATTTTAGCTGGAATTATTTGCTGAAAAGTTATTTTGGGTGTTTCGTATGGAATTTATTTTCACTGATTTTTGATGAGTTAAATGTAAAATATAAGAAAAGCATACAGGTACATTTGCTAGATTTTATTTTCAATGAATCCCTTCAGCGAAAATAAAGTATTTTACAGTAACAGTGTAAATTCATTTCTTTCAATAAAAGAAGAATTCACGCTTACATTTTTTGTTTTGTGGTCATGATGCAAGATAATATTTTCCGGTTTAATATCACGGTGCATAATCTTGTTATTATGTAAATATTCTATGGCCGATGACAATTGTCTTAACAGTTCCCGAACCCAGTACTCCTCAAGTCCGCAGCAGTGTTCAGATTTTCGGAGTATCTAAAACAAAACAAAAATTAAAATTTTTAAAAATATTATTTGTAAAGAATATATCAATATTACTGGCTCTTCTTTAGATTTTACATAAAATTGTACAAAAAGAATGCAACACCTTACTTGAACACCGACTGGCACATACAACTATAATACCGGTAACGTTTGAAATGATATCATTAGGTATTGCGCAATGTGATTCATGTTAGATGTTAGATTCTACTAGAACTAGAATAGTGAAAAATGTATTCATAACTGACAAGGCACTTAATTTATAAATGGCTTCACTCCAGTATCAAAATTACTGTTACTTGACATTCACAAAAAATCACAATAAAGCCACAGTAATGCAGTCATTATATTTCCGTCTGCACACGTTGTTCACGATTTATTCGCTGAATGACATTATATGGTTACGTCAGATCTATTTTTAGTAAGCTCTCGTAGTCATGGAAAACGATATTTAGTTTTGTTACTTGCTTCCAGACTTTTAGCAATTCTTTCAAAACTTCTACGCAAACATTTTTGCACCTCCCATATGCCCAGTGTAATCTTAAAATCTGGACAAGACAATACCTTTCTCAGATCTCCGCCATTGCAGTATTCAAGCGGTAGTCGTCGTATCTCGCTGTTTTCGGAACCGCATTTCCCGATCTGAGCTTGCTTATCTACCTTCACTAATCCCTCATGGTGTAGTGTTTGTATGATTTCCACTTCTCTCCTCCAATGCACCATCATTTTCTCGTCTAATTCCTTGCTGCATTCTTTCATTGCAAGGCGGTGACCAGTTTCCTGCCGAATAAATTTACGATGGAGTGAAGAACCACAAGACCAAGAAGAAGGAAAATACCTTCAGTTCCACATAAATGCAATACATGTAAAAGAATGACCAGGATACACAGCAAGCCAATGATACTTGCACTCATTGTTTCCCTTGTATGGATCATTGCTGTGCATCATAAAGGTTATTGTGCAGCACATGATAAAATAATCTTTTCCCAGTTCTTATTTAAAGCCAGAGAAAATAGAGATACTTAGTCAGAGTTTGATATTTGTCAAAATAGTTTACCAGACAACAGGGCAGGTAACTTTAACAAGCAGGCTATCGGCTGAGATAGCTCCGCTGTTAGCAATGCACATTTCAATTAAAGAACTGCAGACATCATTAGAAAATGAACAATATGTATAGTATCAAAGCAATCGGACTTACAGTTTTTAACAAGAAGTCGAAAATATCACTTTTTACCAAAAATG